GCTTAATGCAGTTTTACAAGCTTTTGTGATGTTTAAAGATTCTGTATTTAATTTATTTTCTGATAGTCAGTATGTAGTTAATGCTATAGTATCTCTTGAAGATGCTGGTAGGATTTCCCCTTCTTCTACTGTTTTCTCTTTGCTTTCCACTATACAAAGTCTAATCTGGGACAGAAAAGATCCATTCTTTATAGGACATATCAGGGCACATACAGGATTGCCTGGAGCCCTTAGTTTGGGCAATGATTTAGCAGATAAAACTACACATGACATACATATTTTCTCTACACTAGAAGAAGCTATAAATTTTCATAAAAAGTTCCATGTCAATGCTAATACTTTACAAAAGCGTTTTAAAATAACTAAGGAACAAGCTAGACAAATAATAAAACAATGTCAAAATTGTGTGACCTTTTTACCACAAGTTAATCTTGGAGTCAATCCTAGAGGATTGATACCTAACCATATTTGGCAGATGGACGTCACACACTTGCCAGAATTTGGAAAATTAAAATATTTGCATGTTACAGTTGATACTTCTTCTGGATTTTTGATGGGCTCCCTTCATGCCGGAGAAAAAACTAAAGATGTTATAGCTCATTGCTTACAAAATTTTGCCACTGTGGGTGTTCCAAAACAGTTAAAAACAGATAATGCCCCTGGTTATACTTCTACCTCTTTTAAACAATTTTGCTCAACATTTGGCATTACTCATATAACAGGAATCCCATACAATCCACAGGGACAAGGCATAGTTGAAAGAGCTCATCAAACTATTAAAATGTACTTATTAAAGCAAAAAGAAGGAATTGGGAAGGGGTATATATTCCCCAAAGATAAACTTAAAACCGAGCGGTGGGGCTCGGTCGCGCGGCAGCGGCAGCGGAGGCCTTTTGGTTCTGCAGCACGTGACGGTCGGGCCGCCTCCGCCGCTGTCTTCACTGCAGCGCGGGGCCAGGTGTGCGGGTGCGAGAAGGCGCAGGCACTGCTGGTGGTCCCCGGGAGGCTCGAGATCATGGAAGGGAAGTGGTTATTATGTATGTTTCTGGTCCTTGGAGCTACTGTTGTTCAGGCTCATGATGGGCATGAAGATGATATGATTGATATTGAGGATGACCTTGATGATGTCATTGAAGAGGTAGAAGACTCAAAATCAGATACCAGTATGCCTCCATCTCCAAAGGTCACCTACAAAGCTCCAGTTCCAACAGGAGAAGTTTATTTTGCTGATTCCTTTGACAGAGGCTCTCTGTCAGGGTGGATTTTATCCAAAGCCAAGAAAGATGACACTGATGATGAAATTGCCAAATATGATGGAAAGTGGGAGGTAGATGAAATGAAGGAAACAAAGCTTCCGGGTGATAAAGGACTTGTATTGATGTCTCGAGCCAAGCACCATGCCATCTCTGCTAAATTGAGCAAACCCTTCCTATTTGATACCAAGCCTCTCATTGTTCAGTATGAGGTTAATTTCCAAAATGGAATAGAATGTGGAGGTGCTTATGTGAAACTGCTTTCCAAAACACCAGAACTCAACTTGGATCAGTTCCACGACAAGACCCCCTATACAATTATGTTTGGTCCAGATAAATGTGGAGAGGATTATAAATTACACTTCATCTTTCGCCACAAAAACCCTAAGACGGGTGTATATGAAGAAAAGCACGCTAAGAGACCAGATGCAGATCTGAAGATTCTAACAGGACAATGGAAAGGTCCTGACCCAGTAATTGTCTGGAG